AATCAAATTCAGTTTCTTGTTGTCGCGGTTGTTTAAAACATTTTAATATGCTAAATATAAAGCGTTCGTATGTGGGCAAGTGCGAGAGACTTCGTGTGTTCTCGTGCGTGAAAGGGAATGTTGGTGTATGTGTGTGTTTGCGTGTGTGTGTGTGTGTGTATTTGTGTGCGTGTGTGTGTTTGTGTGTGTATGTGTGTGTGTATCAGTGTGCGTGTGGGGGGAGGGGGGGGTGGGTGCGTGCATGAATGTGAGCATGAGTGGGTATGTATTTATTTGTCGCATATGTGATAGAGAGGTATGACCATGGCCCAAAAGCACGTTTACCAAAGGCAAAAGGCGCGCTTGCACATTAAAACAAAACTAGCAGAAGAATACAAAAAGGCACATATGACTGTATCAATCTGTCAAGTCATTCGTACTCGATCTTGATTGTTTCTGTATACTTTATAAGGAGCACTAGGTCTCAGCTTGTCAATTAATGGATCAATCTAATGACATTCTTTTTTTCTTTTCATTTGGTAAGTGTTTTGCGGCGCTCGCAACTGCATAAGGTCAAGATCATATGAGCGCGCGGGACACACTAACCATTTTCAATTGACAGGAAATTTGGAATTTTGCCCGGGTGGCGGCCGAAGCCTACTCTAATTAGTCTAATTCATTTTTTGGACTGCCAAGGAATCTTTAACGTGCGCAACTTGCACACGGGAACTGTGAGATTTTTCGCCCTTGTCCGAGAAGACTAGGTGTATATCTTTCCCACCAGAAGGTCTGGGGTGTGGCTAAAAGACAGCAGTAAGAAGGAGCCAAGAAGGAGCAGTAGAAAGGCTCCAGAAGATGTGGGGGCAAAGGAGATGAGGGAGTGGGAGCAGAAAGCCGAGACAAAATCAGACGATTGAACATTGTTAGAGAGCAGGGAAGGAGGTGAAAGGAGACAATTTTAAAGAAGAAATGTTTTTCGGTCGCCACCCGGATTCGAACCCGGGACCTTTAAATGAGAGGCGAACACCTTAACCTCTAGGCCACGAGAGCCCTTTAATGGTGTTCACTTTCCATTCTTTAAATTCAAGCCCTTCAAAATCATAGAGCATGTATCTTTTGCCAAACCCCCCAACCAAACATTTGGCTCTGACGTAATCACGTCAGCTGAAAAAGATGTCCGCAGAAAGCAATAAATAGGTCAGCTTTGCCATTCTTCACACATAACAAAACCAGGCAGTGCTGAAGTGCCTCGATATAATCATACCTGTAACAAATAAGTAATCGTTATCATTTGTATGTGAAGCAATTGTATTATCTTTATTTCACTTTGTCACATCATCACCTTCACTTGATCCTTGAAATAAATGTATCATCATACAGGAATGCAGAGCATTAACGAAATATTTGATGAGTAATCTTGTTGTATCCGTTACAGCCTACAAGAGTAAATCTTGTACTTCACAGTTCGCTGTTTACCTGAACCGAGAAGGTGACCCTAAAGACCACCAACGCAGTTTTTTAAATGTAAAAATATTCAATTTTTTAATGCTGATTGTTTGTTGTTGCTCTTATGTGAGTCTTTGCGATGTCTCGAGTGCGGTTTCTTTTTATAAGCCACTGGACCGTGACCAGATTGACTATAGAGGCGCGTCTTTGACAATCTGTCGCTGTCTGCACGCACCTTCGACGAGGCGCCAATATATTTGTATACAGCGTTGAAAGATGTGTTGATAATCATAATATAATCTGTCCGGAAAGATGAGACACTTTGCCTTCCCGCCCGATCCTATACCACATTTTCCACACCTTTTCCCGTTTCTGAGTCTTCAATCCTTAATTATTCTATTATAGAACTTTGCGACAATCGGCGTCATGGTTCTAGTTTCACATTGCGACAAAGAACACTTAAGACTACGCTTTTTGCACTGATCTTCAGATATCACCACTAATAAGATTAACATTGACTCTAACTCTAAGAACTGCATTTCGTTCCCCCCTTTTCAAGGCACATACTGGTACAAATTGTCAAAATGGCACTTCATTTCTTTCCAAGCCAAAATAAACTTCTGACACAGATCTAGACTAAATGAATGCGCATTTCTATTATCTATTTGTGGTGGCCGAATGTTGCTATTCAAAAGGCTTTTTAATGGCTGCATCGATCGACATACAGTTTCCGCCTAGACATTCTTTAAAATATTCTCCAGATCATGACGCCCTTCGTTTTTTCAGTTTTGAGACAGCTTTCCTACAAAAAGCTCAATTTCGTTATTTCGCCGATCGCTTTTGTAGGCCGACGCTTTAGTCTGTCTCTGTAATTTTTGAAATCCGCCAGGTTTGCCGTCTTCTAAGACGACAGATTCCGTTCACTAGCCGTGCATACAGTTCCTCAATTACTCAATTTTTTTTCTATTCCTTTCATCGAAAGGGGGCCCAGCTAGTCTCTTCTAAGTTAAGAGAAAGGTAGAAAAAGAAGCACTCTGAATGCTTAGCTTACTCCCCACGGTCTGAATCCCAGTCTGTTCTGATCTCAACTCCCGAGTTTCATTTTTACTCTCAAGGTCTCCTTCCAGATATCGTTCATTACGGGCGTTATCCTCTGATACTAGTGATAGGCATGCTCTCTTCCTTACCTCGGGGATGTCTGCTGTAGGTAAGGTGGCCTAATACGGCTCCAACACATAGATTGCCGCTGCCTCTATAAAAAGATTATTTCTGTTGGTAGTTAATTTTGATAGTAAATTTATTTACGCTGAATTTGTACCATTATTCCTATCCATTTAGATATCATATTGACTCTTCACGTTTTAAAGAAGTTAACACATTTCCGCACATTGCACTGATGGGTAAAAACAGCTAAAAAGGAGATTTGAAGACCCCCCCCCACCCACTTCCCCACGACAAGTCTGGCCAGAGAATTGGTTGGCATTACTATGAAACAGTTATTATTCCTTCACTTATTTTCTTAACTCACAATCTGAACACTATAATAATATTGGCTTTGATTTTTACCCGCACAAAGAGAAAATACAGGTCTACGTGGAATGTCATTTGGGCCCTATGATCTCATTGAGACCATCCGCCCAAAGAAGCGCCAGTCTAGACATACACTCATATTGTGGAGTTATCCCGTTTATCAAAATATACTTTAAGATTGTAATGCCCTTTAAAATCAAATTTATAGTTAAGGTGTTTCCCGATTTCATTTATAAAACTGGGTACATAACTTTCAGGATGAGATACTTAAACTTAAAAACACACATAATAAATGTATTTATTACGTGATTCGGCATTTATTAGTTGTACTTTTGAACCAGGCCTCTTTAAATTGGTAATAATGTAGGACAGCCGCCACAATACACAGACATAAACAGATCGTTGTAAAAGCGTGGAAAGAGTGAAAGGGACTGGTGTGATGGGATGGGGCTACACTTTCAAACAGGAGAAATAGCACGTAGTCAGTTGGGCAGGACTACTGAGAGAGGAGGGGGGGAGGCAAGAGGCAAAATGAGAGGAAAGAGAGAGAGAGAAAGAGAGAGAGAGAGAGAGAGAG